AAATGGGTTATAGAACCTTTTTGTCTCTGGGTATGGATGCACCTACTGCTTATCCCTCCACCTCTACACTATTTTATCAAAACTACATGCACTTAACAAGAATATGCACAAAATCTATTAAAACCACAATCATAACATTATAGGTGAAAAATATAATACAGGGATATAACCTACTATAACCACAGCAGAAAATTATGTGTAGAATATAATACAGGGAGATAACCTACTATAACCACAGCACAAAATTATATGTGGAAAATACAATCTAGGGAGATAACCTACTACAACCACAACACAAAATCATATATGTGGAAAATATAATACAGGAAGATAACCTACTAAAACCACAGCACAAAATTATACATGGAAAATATAATACAAGGAGATAAACTAAGTAAAAGTGAAGTAAAGATCCCTTTCCACGCCTTTAGGTGCATCAGGCAAATGGGAAGAGCACCCATATTTTTTACAGACCAATCGGCACTAGATGGGTAATGTGGTCAGCATTACACCGGCTGTCTTTACTTCCCCAGTACAGCCATCCTGGTACCCATTTTAGGCTGGGTCGACCTGCCAGACCCCATACCATGATAAAAATCCACGCAGCCAGCAGTGGGTTTCGATCGCGGTACTTTGGAATTACGAGTCGGACTCGCAACGCTTAAACCAAAGTAGACTTTATAGATCTATTAAACCTACAAGCTTGAAATAATGGGAAAACATAATAAAAGATTCAACATACTTAAGACACAAGCAAAAATTATGTGGAGAAAATATAACAGAGGGAGATAACCTAGCAAATTCATAAGAATAAAATGATATTTGGAAAATGGGACAGAGTGCAGATAACTTAGTAAAGTCACAAGCACACAATAATAAGTGGAGAATATATTAGAGGGAGATATTCCAGTAAAGCCATAACAAAAAGTGATATCTGGAAAATATATCAGAGGGAAATATCCCAGTAAAGCCATTTCAAAAAAGTGTTGTATGGAAAATGTGAAGAGGGGCACAACCTAATAAAACCAGAAGCACAAAACAACACATGGAAAATATAACAGAAGGAAGCATTCTTCGAAAGCCAGAAGCACACAACTGTCGGGTGTGGTTGGGGGATGTGGTTGCTAGCCAAGTGTCTAGGGGGTTATCGTTTATAAGTGTCAGTCCTCCACATTTACACACTGGATTTCCTCCATCCACCAACCACGCCACCCGCTTTCCTTGGCAAGGCACATGCTGATGGTGATAAATGGACTAAAGACGGCCAACCCAACAATTACATCACTTCTGTAAACCCCTATACATAGTAACAGCCAACACAGTTTACAGGTACTGCAATATAATACACCACGCCAAGTATGTTCTTATAGTGCAATCAGTCTCTTTATTATGGACGAACAAACTGCGATGGCGAAGAATGGTGATCGATGACTTGCTGACAAGTCCACCACCTTTCAAATACTCACATTGGCAGGTTCTCCAGACAAGGACAAAATACTCAAGTGAACTAAGTACCTGGTACCTGCTACGGGTAAATCACACCCGATCGTGGAGATACACCTACGTGATGTTCAGTGACAACCCTCTGTCGGTTTCTCCTCTAGAGGGCCCTGCCCCATGGATTCAAGGTAGATGCACCTCTTGGTGAAAGACTCCAGACCTCCTGTCTGCTAACCCAGCAACTCGGTGAAGCATCACTGACTAATATCTTGTTAATCAGCCTCCGATACTTCCCCATTACATCCCACGCTGGTCAACTCACACAGGTTCCTCAGCACTTTCTGGACATTTAAGGACACCGTTAACCAACTCCACATAGTCACAACCGTGTTGACCCTGCACGCCTGACTGACACAAGTCCATTCTAGAAATCACACTGACATAATTCCAAATACCACTGGACAGTTCACGGGAGCTCAACAGAATAAACGACAGAATACAACTGTCATACCAAGTCCATACATGCATAAGACTATAACAAAACACTAACACACTTCCACACAGTTAGACTGACTGAAATCTACTGACTCGCTTAAACTACCACAGGACTTTTCCGCCTGTGTTTGTTGCCCGTGGATCTCACTTTCTCCCCAACACTAGGGGTTCACAACCAACTTGTGCTGTCGACCCACATGGATCGCACATTATCCGTGATGTCCGCAAAACTCATGTCCCCAATGATCATGCTCCACTATCTTCCAGTGACCCCAAATGTTTACATCTCAATCTGTCAACACAAAGCCCTGGCTTCATTAACTCCTTCCAATCTCCAGGTATCTCACACACAATAACAATGACAAAGGGCTAATATAATAGAGGGAAAACCTAATAAAACTCAGCACAAAATAACACATGGAAAATATAACAGAAGGAAGCATCCTTCAAAAGCCAGAAGTATGTATGATACATGGAAAATATAACAGAAGGGGGAAAACCAAATAAAAGCATAAGCAAACACAAATCATGGAAAATATAAACAGAAGAAGGCACCCTTCGAAAGATAGAAGCACTTTTGATACATGGAAAATATGAGAGACAAGGAAAACCAAATAAAACCATAAGCGTGCTCGCGCACACACACACACACAATCATGGAAAATATAACAGAAGGAAGCATCCTTCTAAAGCCAGAAGCACATCTGATACGTGGAAAATATAATACAGGGATGTCATGTACTAAACCCAGAGTGACGACATCAGCTTCCTTCACCAAGCCCCACAATTCTTTAAACAATTAGGCTGGTGTACTTACTAGGTGGAGGTGCTGAAAGGCAGGGCATGCAGTTACTGGTCAGAAATCATTGTAAAACTAGATGGCAGGTTAGCTACTTGCATGTGGCTGTGCAACAGATGGTGAAAGTATACATCTCTAGAATCCTAGCTGTAACCATTATCTCTTCTTCTATAATTTTCACTTAGCAACAAACAGATGTGAGTTAAGGTCTATTTAGGAATCATTCAAGAAGCAAAGTGAAGCTTTTAAACTTTGGTTATGAAAAAATGACTTCCCAAAACAATGAGTATCTTCAAATAAAATTAAGCTGAGATAAAGAACAGACCACCTTGAAAGTGTGAGACAAAAAGACTGGCCAGATTGGCCACTTTGATATATGCCTTTTTTTAAAGACACGAAATGTGAATACAAAACTCAAAACTCTACAAAATAATGAAAATAATCTTGCAACAAGAATACAATGCAGTCACAATGAACAAAACAGAAAAAATAAGACAAATATACGTGACGATAGGATGAGTTACTTAAAAAAAACATCTAAATTTCCTGACAAGAAAGGAAACATCACTAACTCACAGCATTAAAAAAAAAATGTCATGCAAACATCCAGCATTTAAATTATTTATATTTTCCTAGCCCAGTTTTGAATAAAGTAGAAAACAGAAAAGGAAGCAGAGGCAGCATGCAGTAAGAGACATTGATATGAAATTCTCCTAATAAATCAAGATGAAACTGATAGTCAACTAATCGCTTACTTATCTGAGAATGAGTGAATGTGAAGTTAAATGTGAGTCCAGCAACAAGGAAAGTATGGGGAAGAACAGAATATGTCTTTCTTCTTCTTCTTCTCCTCTTCCTCCTGAATGTGGAGTCACCCTTAAAAAGGAAACTGGCACATTTTGCTGTGGTTTTCTACAAGCTGTGACATCTGCACCAAACCCCTAACTCTTGGGGAAGGGAGAGAGGAGGGGGGGTCTGCTTCAGTTAAAGATGGCCAGCCTATGGTCCTCACTGACACTAATAATGCAATTAGAGAGATGAAAGGTTAGAGGATGCTCCTTGGAACAGCAGTCAATATGTCATGTGCAAATGCAAAAACAACACAAACATAGGTACCAAATGGGTTGACACAATTCTAGAAGACCTTGAATTTGCTGACGATATAGTGTTTTTGAGTTCAATGCACTAAGACATCATAGAGAGAAACAAACCATCTCCAAAATAATTCAGGACAAATCGGTCTCCAAATGAACACCGAAAAAATAGAAATGACTGATCTTACCAATAGTTCCGATGACATGAAACTAAATAATCACATTCTTGAAAAAGTCAACAACTTGACATACCTAGGAGGTAAGATGACATGTCTAGGGGATTCAGCACCAGAAATGTCATCTAGAATCGCACTGGCGTCTAGTGCCTTTAACAAACTGTCAAACACTCTGGAAGTCAAAGACTCTCAGCAAACACACAAAAGATCTTCACCAACTCTTGTGTGATTCCAGTGCTAACTTATGGATGCATGAGTTGGAAAGCAACGATAGCTGTAGATTTTTTAAAAATTTGAAAGTTTTGAGAACAAATGTCTTAGAAGAATACTAAATCTCCATTGGACATGTTTCAGATCCAATAAGCAGTAGATCAACCAAAATAATGCATCCAATTTTATAAGAAAGTGCCGCTGCAACTACATCGGCCATGCATTCAGAATGGATAAGACACCATTTCCCCAACAAGCCCTCATATGGACACCGGAAGGGAAAAGAAAACTGGAAAGACCGAGAGAGACTCTACGTAGAACCATCATCAGGGAATGGCTCAGCCATGGACCTAACAAACATCCAAGACCTAAAGCAGGTGGCAACGAAACCGGCCGACATGGAGAGCTATGACCTCTGCCCTATACGCTGTCCTAGGCCCAAGAGAAAAGACATACTAACTAGGAAGGTTAAAAAATAGAAAGTGGTGTATTATGGTATGAAATCGTCAACTAAGGTATGAAATGGTCTAAAGTATGCAACAGTCTACTATGTTATAAAACAGTATACTAAAGTATAAAATGGTCTACCAAGGAATAAAATAGTCTACTAAAGTATACAATGGTCTACTAGGGCATTAAATAGTCTACAAAGGTATAAAATAGTCTAGAAGGATTTAAAAAAGGTCTACTGAGTTTTTAAATGGTCTACTATGGTATGAAACGAATACTATGCAGTATGTTATAAAAAGTGTTATACAATGTAATAATAGATGTCACTGTACTCACTGGAGTGGAGGTGGAAGAGTGACCTGACCAGGTAGTCATACAGCTGGCATGTGTCCAGAATACACAGGATCAAGGGAGCAAGCCTGCACTGTCCTGCTGACGTCATGGAGTTGGCCCGAGACATGTCCAAAGATCCAAACACTGTGTTGAAGAGTGACAGGAAGAAACAGACAATAATTTGTGGCTTCGGTCTTAGAGCACACTTATTCTGAACAGGTATACAATTGTCTTAAAACAACAATGTTTTCCTGTTGTAAATTTAAATATAGTAGAACTTTGAATATCCGGACTCTGTATTATCTGGTCTAGTTTTTAAAAGATAATTCCCGTTAATGATGAGGAGAGAGGGGAAGATGTCATCTATCATAAGACCTTTTCCAAAAACGAAAAACTATCCTCTTTGAAACTTTCATCTCAGGCCGACCCTTTCCCATTTGTGTAATTACTTATCAATTAACAGTTAAAAAAACTAAGTTTTAAAATTTTTTGTAAGCAAACCTACATTGTACATTAATGTTTTGTTCATTTGAAATGTGTGTTTACCATACTGAACAGTGTATATGATATTATTTTTCCTTCATTCCAGTTAAAAATCAAGAATTTTATCTTAAAAATCTGAAGACGGTATCAAGCACAAACTCACCACTTGGTGGTAAATTGATGTGTGGCAAGTTAGATATTTTGAGGGCCCTTTGGGAGCGAGTAAACAGTGCAGAGGTGCAGACAGATCATTTCAGTCTAAGGAGAATTTCGCTGCGAGGAGTTACCAGGAAATCTGGCCAACGCTCAACAATTAAGGCAAGGATGAGAGAGAGATACAATCAGATGGTTACTGGTACCATCGGAATTGGAACTCTTCACTTGCTGCTGAAGATGGGAAATGAGCACTTATGGGAATTGTCCCGAGTGCTGTGATGTTGATTCTTAATTCAACATTCAACATTCCTAAAATATGAACAATATTTAAATTTTTTGCATCTGTTTTCTGTTTGAAAAAAAAATATATACAATATAAGTACAATACATTATGAAATTTGTTAAAGTACCAGCATGTACTAAGAGTTTTGAAAATATAAATAAGTGCAGGTTTTTGGTAATTAAAAAAAAAAATGTAGCAACTGAGTGTTTTAAAACTCTGGCATGTACTAAGAGGTTAGAAAATATAAATAAGTGCAGTTTTTTGGTATTAAAACAGGGAAGAAAAAAGTGTGTTTAATGACATGAGGGGAATAGCAATTGAGTATTTATGGAACTCTGGCTGTAATTCTATATAAACAATAGATTTAACAATTTATTTCCTGGCATATTTCTCTACATCTTGTCAGGTGCATTCCTGCAGGGTTTATTAATAAACTGTCTGCTAGCTTTGGCAGTCTCCTTTGGAGGGGGGGGGGAGGGGGGGGGGGGGGTGGGGGGGGGGGAGTAAAGGACCCTTTTACATGCCTTTAGGTGTACTGGGTATATAGGGCTAGACCTATATTTTTAAAGACCAATCAGCATTTGGTGGGTAATGTGGTCAACATCACGCTGGCCCCCTTTACTTCCCAGGACTGCACCTGGTACCCACTCAAGGCTGGGTCGACCTGGGAGTCAAGGTCATTTTTGAAAAAAAATCCGACTCCCTCAGGACGTGAACCCACGACCTTCCGATCCGCAGGCAGGCGTCTAGCGGCCAACGCCACCGTGACTGCCTCCTTTTATTCTAAAAACTGAAATATCTTTCTTTAAAATATCTCAGCTTTGCAATAAATCACAGCTTCTTTTTTTTTTTTCTTCTTCATGTTTAGTGGCTGTAAACTCCGGTGGAAAGTTCTGGCTGTTCATCCACTTCTGGACTTGAGTCTCGTTGCAGAACCTGAGTTTTGCATGCACATTTGTTTAAGGCAGACGGTTTGTTCATTGCAGATGTACTCTAACTTCTAAGGAAGCCCTCAATTAGTCGACTCATAGGACATGCTTGTTTGGGGAGGCACTGGGTCTATTCTTGTTTTTCTAACAATACAGCTGCACTACCTGCCTGAAAGGCAAGGGACCAGCAGTCAAGGTTGTCTAGGAAATATAGAAAGTAAAGTAAAGTAGAGGACCCTTTTCCACGCCTTTAGGTGTATAGGGCATATAGGGCAGGACCTATATTTTATAATCCAATCAGCACAAGATGGGTGATGTGGTCAGCATCACACCAGCTTCAAAGGAAACATCCCTAATTAGTCGACTCTTATGAGATTATTTTTATAGGGCAGTTGGCCTATTCTTTTATTCCCCATAGAAGGGCCCCAAAACACACACGGGGAAGTCAAAGCTCAAACTCACCGTTTTGCTGAAGGGAGATAATCTCATCCATGTAGTCCAACATATCAATTGAAAATTCAAAGCTGCAGAAGTATGCAAAGTCATAAATATTTGTGAATTTCTCAGAAGTAAAATACGAACATCCAACAATTATACTGGACTTATGTTTTACTTCCTAAATATAGTTGTGCCCCAATATTATGTGGTTGCAGTGGGTTTCTGGGATTTCCTCTTGATGCATTTTCCTTTGAATAGTGGCTCTTTAAAAGGGTTTCTGGTTTCCTCTTGATACATCATCATCTGAACAGTGGCTCTTTGAAAGGGTTTCTGAGATTTCCTCTTGATGCATTATCATCCAAATAGTGGCTCTTTGAAAGGGTTTCTGGGATTTCCTCTTGATGCATCATTATCTGAATAGTGGCTCTTTGAGATGGGTTGTGGGATTTCCTGTTGATGAATTATCATCCAAATAGTGGCTCTTTGAGATGGGTTGTGGGATTTCCTCTTGATGAATTATCATCCAAATAGTGGCTCTTTGAGATGGGTTGTGGGATTTCCTCTTGATGAATTATCATCCAAATAGTGGCTCTTTGAGTTGCTGGGTTGCAATCCTGGTGAAGAAAACAAAGAGCAACCCCTCCCCACCATTTGGACAATGTGTTGCTGTGTAACCACAGGGTTTACAAATGTAACTGTTTTACAGGGTTGAACAAGGTTTCAGGAATCTGCTCCTGGTTGACTGCCATCCTTGAGGTGTTGATACAACTCTTCTTCTTAGCCATCACTAGCTGTAAACTACTGTAAAAAGTTCTGGTTGTTCGTCAACTCCTAAACTTTGGTCTTAATCCAGAACTTGAGTTTAGCATGCATATCTATATTACAAAACTGGCTTACTTGTACTGTTGGTGCCTTGCCTCTCGGGCAGAGACACTCTGATTTAGAAGGAAACACCCCTAATTAGTTGCCTCCTATGACATGCTTGTTGGGGGTGGGAGCAGTAGGTCTATAATTTGTTGTCAAACAAGGAGCCCCTGAAACCCACACTGAGAGTTAATGCAACAGTCAGCAATCCTGGAGGAGTCAATGTGGATAAACTTCTTCTTCTTCTTCGCGTTCAGCGGCTGTTAACTCCAGCAAGAAGTTCTGGTTGTTCATCCATCTCCAGAATTTAGACTTGTCCCAGAACCTGAGTGCTGTGTGCACATCCATTTTACAGATGTGACATTTGTTAACAGACTGTTGGTTCCTTGCCTCTCAGGCAGATGCACTCTGACTCCAAAGGAAATCCCCAACCAGTAAACTCTTATATCATGCTTGTTGGAGAGGCAGCGGATCTGTTCTTGTTTTCTAAACAATGAGGCCCCAGAACCCACATAGGAAATTTAGGTAAACAAATTTGGGTAAATAAATGTTACAAAAGTAAACTCACTAGTTGTTTACATCACCGCCACAAATCTTGTAGTACTGTTCATCTGGCATGACCAAATTGCCTGGAATTCCTGGGAACTGTAAAAAAATTAACTCTTTTAGTTACAGAAAATTTCAATAAAGATTACAAACTGTCACAATTATATTCTTCTTCTTTTTCTTCGCATTCACCGGCTTCAAACTCCAGCGGAAAGTTCTGGTTGTTCGTCCACTTCTGGACTCTAATCCTGTCCCAGAAACCGAGTATTGCGAGCACATCCATTTCACAGGCCTGACTCATCTGCAGGCAGACTGTTGGTTCCTTGCCTCTCAGGCAGATGTACTCCGACTTCGTAGGAAGCTCCCATTTAGTTGACTCTTATGACATGCTTTATGGTATTGCCGTTTGTCTATAAAATATAGGTCTAGCCCTATAAGAATAAGAAGAAACTCCACAGGGGAGCATGTACAGCAGGAGTCTACCAATCATCAGTAGAAGTGATCCCTCGTCCACAAATGTGTCGGCCCACGAGCTCCTAGACATTTTCAGAGGGTGGGCCCACCTGAGTTCATGAAGCTTAGGGTTGATCTGCTCCTGCTGCACGTATTACCGGATATTTTATAATATACCCAATACGTCTGAAGACGTGGACAAGTGTCCTTCAGTTGACTCACTCCCTTGCATACATTTGTTTGAAAAATTCTAAAAATATATAAACATTACATTCAAACAAGAATTCATTACTGACTTGTGTTTTGTAAGGATATTTTGGGGGCAATTCTGGGGTTCTGCATTTTTTTACTCCAAAGGGTTTTCAGAAGAAAGGGCTAATTAAAATGTAGCCAGATGTTTTTAGCATGTTCTGGCCAAACGTAAAAGATATAATATGCTAATAAAAGCTGGACACAAATAAACCATATCTATATTAATTTTTTTTAAAGCATTATTATTGTGTTCAACTTGGTAATTATTTCAACTTTTAAGATGCAGTGTTAGCACCATGAGCCAACAATTATTTTGGACAAGTGAGTTTAAAAAAATATGATACTAAAAAAGTTAACTCAGTCCTGAAGCAGTAGTTACTTTATCTCCTTACACTGTGAGGACTTAAAAGCAGTAAATAACTTACTGGGTTTGAAGAAGAGCAACAAAGCCAAAAATCGAACAGAAGTAGTGAAACTAATCATTCAGACATAATGGGTTAATAAGTCGGCATCTGTGGCTTAGGCGTTGCAAACGTGCCTCGTAATGCCGGGATGCCAGGTTGATCCCAGCAGCTGCAGTGGTATCGAGAAGCCGACCGTCCAGAAAGCAATGGCAAACTACTGGGTGTAAATTTGCCTAGAAAAACCAAAACAGCCAAACAAAAAAATGCTGGGGTTGGTTCTGCAATGTCCTGTGAAGAATACCCAACTAACTAACTAATGTGTTAATAAAACATGTCTGTGATTGTAAGCAGCAAGTATATTTTATATCTTTGGAAACACCAAGAAACATATAATTATTTGTTTAGTTTAGTTTAGAAAGAGTTAACAAAATAAATGATAAGATACATAAAATCAAGAACAACAATGTACCTTTCTATGGAATTTAAACTTCTGTATTAAAAGTCTGCAGTAGCTTGCTATCAACTTCCCATATCCTTCCTTCAGATGTCCCTGAGTAGAGAGACACACACAAAATCAAATGAAAAGCATATAGGAGCACTCTCCCAGTGTGCCTTCCTGGGCCCCATTGTGGGAGGGGGGGGGGGAGTAGACTCTGCAGACTTCTTTCTGCAGAAAGGCGCCTTTGCCACTACAAGGTGAAAGGTTCCATTCTCGGCATGGTAACTATAGCTTTTAATTTTTATGTTGTACTAGCTGTACCTGGCCATGCGTTGCTATGGCCTAGAATGGTGAAATGGAAAAGAAAGAAAATAGCTCTCCACTAACAGTGTCTGTCATATCCCTCCCAGCCCCCTCTTCTCCCATCGACCCAATCATATCTCCCTCTCCGAAGGATTTGAAAAATCATCCCTGGCGAAATTATTAAAATAGGAATAGTTAAGAAATGAGAACTTTAAAATAATGTTTTAAGCTCTCTCAGTTAATAGTGTCTGGCATCAAACCCCCTTAACGTTGATCAATCAAGACAGTTCAAGTCCGCCGCCAATTGAAATGCACAATCTATATTAACAACGCTGCAAAATGCGAACCCAAGGAGTCATATAAATATCTGGATCATGGGGGAAGTCACTTATTGGTAGCCCTGCTCAGCAGTCAAAAATGGCCAATCAACTAAAAACAAATCCGGGCCGGAAACGAAACAAATAATGATTTGACCATTGCTGGAGCTACGTCGTTCGTGGTTTGTGCGATTTTATGACATAAAAACTTTGAGTCAAAGGCAACGTTGTGTGAAAATTTGAAAGCAATCGGTTCTGTAGTTTCTGAGTCTATAATTAACAGTGTCGGAAAATTAAGATTTTTATTAATATAGATAGAGTGTCCTCTTATCTCCTAGCTTCTTTCAATTTTTATGTTGTCTAGAGTGACCTCTTATCTCTTAGCTTCTTTTAATTTTTACGGCCACATATTATGGCAGTCACAAAAAACACCCTAACAGGGCCTCAGTCACATGTAAATTGCGGACTTCCGGTAACTTAAATTGCGCACTTTCGGCAACTACTGCCACCGCCGAGAGTATCTCCCACGCGGCTATGTGTGGCGTGGATTGGGGCTAAACTAGATGGCTGGGACTTACGAGCAGCAGCTTCCACATCTCCTGCAGCTTTGCACGTGAGTCCGAGCCATCTAGTTTAGCCCCAATTGTGGTGTGCGAGATACTCTCAGCGGTGGAGGTAAAGTCGCCGGAAGTCTGCAATTTACATGTGACTGAGGCCCTGTTTTTGGTCGCCGTAATATGTGGCCGTTATTCGGAGGACAGCCTATATAGATATACTGGTTGGTATTTTTCCATGTTTTAGATAGTTTATATCAGCGTCTGTGGCTTAAGCATTGCGAACGTGCTTTGTAATGCCAGGGTGCCAGATTTGATCCCAGCTGTGAGTCTTGTGTTGGTTTTGACAGTGGTATCGAGAAGCCGACCATCCAGAAAGCACTGGCAAACTACTGGACGTAAATTTGCCTAGAAAAACCACGACAGCCAAATAAAATGCTGGGGTTCGTTCTGCAATTTTCTGTAAAGGATAAGCAACTAACTTTCAACAGATAGTTTTTATTGTGCTAAAGGGAGGCATGAGTATCAAAGCCCTTCGCGATAGAGGGTAAGACCACAAAGTTCTACTCAAGTTAGGAAAAACTATTCTACACTTAGAGCATATACTTATAACTGACAACAAGCTTAACAGATAGTTATCATAGTATTAACATATTGTAAATGTAAAATACACTGTTACTATAGTGTATTTACCGCTTTTTTTTTTAGGGCAGTGCAGGGGGGGGGGGGGGGGGGGGGGGGGGGGGGGGGGGTCACTCTTATGAGCCTGAGGATTGAGAGCTGCCTGGCTGGTACTGTCACCACAGACTGCGTAGATTAGGATTATTTTTGTTTTTAACCAAGGTCGAACCCACGACTCCTGCATGAGAGCCCAATGCTGTAACTGTTCAGCCAGCCGCTCCTCAGCTAACATACAGTTAACACTCACACACACAACTGAAATGTACTTTAGCTCTGCCCTTACCCACAACTTGCCCAGGTCTCGAATCTGGTTTGCATATTTCACAGAGTCCTGGACTACCTGTATAGAAAATAAAATTAACCTTAGGCAACAATAAGCAAACACAAATACACAAGAATTGATTACTATGAACTCTAAAATCAAAACATATACTTCCTTTAGAAAAGTCAGTCATACATCAGAGGGAATTCCTCTTCTTCTTCTTGTTTGCATTTGGTTTTGTTTGCTCAAATCAGACCATCAGGTGGATGCCTTTATGAACTCGCATGTCAGAAGCAGGTCCTCCATGGTTTCCCATAACTTGCTCTGAACACTTTGCTCTTGAGGCCAGGTGTCTTTTCAAATTTGTAGATAGAGTGGGCAAGGTCTTATAAGAGGGATTCATAAAGTAGTGTCCACAATTTTCTTCTCTCAGCAAACAGTGTTCATTGGGGCAGAAGAAGAAACACTTCAAATCTTACATGCCTGCACTGTATAAAAGACATTCCCTGTGCGGGTTCTGGGCCCCAGTTCTGGGGGAAAAACAACAGACCTACTGCCTCAATACAAACATGTTGTACACTGCGACTGATTGGGGACAGTTCCTTTCTGAGTGTATCCGCCTGACGGGTGAGGAACCGAAGATCTGCATAAAATAAGCCAGATTTGTAAAACGGATGTGCACATAAAACTCGAGTCCTGGAACAAGACCAAGGCCCAGACGGGGGACAAGCAACCATTACTTTTGGCTAGAGTTTGTCACAAATGGTTATGGGATGGCAGGAAAATGTAGTTGGTGGGTTTCTAAAGGTGTCACTAGGTGACAGCAACATAGAACTTTATGTCTCCATTAGTTTGGTGGTACTAGGTGTTGCATGCGCATTCGCAACACAGAAACGAAAATGGCTATAGTACTTACAGAGTGTACACAAATGGACAGTGCAAAAAAAAAAAAAAAAAAAGATTCATACACTGAAAGACTAATTCAACAGGGGACGTAAAGGGTAAAAAGGGGGGGGGGGGGGGTAGGTTAGAAAGGTTCTGGAAGATTTTCAACATTGAAGGGAAAAGAGGCGGACTTTTAATCAGGTCACAATTGGTAATATTAGCATGTCAACTCTTCTTTGGCTACTGAAGAAGGGGATGGAGCACGTGTGGGAATGTCCCGATGGCAGTGATGTCAGTTCTTGATCCACTCATTGAAAATCAACATACATATACTATTTCAACTACAAACTGGGACATTTTCAACAACAACAAAAAGACCATTCCCAAACTACCTGTGACATTTTTCAAATCAAAAATCAGGATTACTAGGTGGTTTGAAAATAATCCAGTTTGGCTGGGGGGAAAAATGTTCAGTTTAAAAAGGTAACGATACGTACATTAGGGTGACCATCCCTCATAAGTTTATGAACAACTTGCAGGAACTTCCAACAAACAATCGGATTGGCTTGCACTGGCATCTTGGAAGCAATCGTCCAGAACATGTTCCCTCCATTGTCCTGGAAGGTCCCCAAAACTGCATCTAGTGATTTCTAGTTAAGGAACAAATGCTTCTTGCTTGGCTGAAAAAATAATGGTGGAACAAACGAACAAACCCTATTTTTAAAGGGTAACAAATTCTGCACGCAGGCCGGTCTTACACTGGCCCTTACAAACACCCATCTTTCACACAATGGTTGTATTTTATCAATAAAGCAGGTTTTTTTTCCCCATATAATAATATGGATATTATGAATATCCAGAAAATTACAAAAGCATGGGTGGGGAGAAGTCAATAGTAGGACAGGATAAATGATGGAATCAATCACTAAATCAAGGATAAGTAAAAAATCAGTCAGTCAAGAATGAATGAGGAAATCAATTAGTTAGCCAATCAATCAAGAACAAGTCTTTCAATAACAAATGAAGCAATTAATCAAAGATAAGCAAGGAATTGGTCAATAAATTATAAATGGGAGAATTAATTTGTCAAGGATATGTGGGGAATTAATTCATCAAAGATAAATGCGGGAATCATGCAGTAAGTCAACCAATCAAAGAAAAGTCAATCAAGAATAAATAAGAAATCAACAGGTCAATCAATTAGGGATAAGTAAGGAATCATCAATAAATGATAAATGAAGGAATTATTTAATCTAGTAAAAGTTACTATTAAATCGAGGTTTAGTAGGTGAACAATTGAGGATAATTAGGTGATCAATTAAGGATAAGTTATCAACGAAGGATAACAAGTGATCAATCAGGGATAAGTAGGAAATGACTAGTAAGGGATCAATCAATCTATCTAGGATAAGTGAGGGAACAAACCAATCAGGCAAGCAAGGGAAACCATAATAATCAATCAAATACCAACTCCATTATGAAAGTTAACTGCAATGGATCTCCAACACCCTCCGTCTCTCAAAACCCTGCAGCAATTACCAAATAAGACTGAGCACTGTGGGTTTGCTAGGAGTGCCACCATGTCGATTCTCTATATTAGCCATTAACCTTCAAAAGGATTTTACATTTTCCACTCCAGACCCAAAGCGATCAATAAAAATAATCCCTTTCTTACTGAAGATTACAGAAGACGAAAGAAAAATCTAAAAAGAAGATTTATATATACTTTATGCAGTCTGTCAAGAGTCTCTTTCGTGTCTTCCTCAACCAAATAAATCACACGCAGCTATCTAACCAATGATTCCTAAAGTGAATAATGCTGCCCTCTCAGGGCCAGTGAAGTGAGATTCACCGTAGTCTGGGGCAACCTTTATTTTTTTTCAATTTCTTTCTCCTTCTCGTCTTCCATCTCCTTTCTATTTCCTAATGGGAAAAAAGCCCTAATCCACTAAAGTCAAGACACTGACAGGCTTGTTTATGTTCCGTTGGATTTTGCGACTAGAGTTTGCAGGATGAGATAGGCAGAGTTTTCCTGTGTGGGTTCCAGGGCCCCGTTCAGGTTCTAAAAATCTTATTAGTTTTTTTGTTTTTTTAAACAGATACACCACCATTCCCACTTCCCCGTTTTCCCCCCTAACAAGCATGTGGAAATAACTAATTTTGGATGTTTCCTGTAAAGTTGGATTGCATCTGTCTGCGGCGAGGAACCAACAGTCTGCTTACCAATAAGCCAGATCTGTATAATGGATGTGCACATAAAGCTCAAGTTTTGGAACGAGGCTAAAGTCCAGAAGTAGATCAACAACTAGAACTTTCCTCGAGTGCCACTGAATGTGAATAAGAAGACAGGCAGCTCTGTGCTAATTCTCCTCAGCCACTCCTTATGGCTAGCATAAAGTTCATCATCATCATGCACCATGTCGATAAGCATTGGCAGCCATGACTACCAGAATCAAGACTGTGTTCTTGTCCCACCTCTGCCACATAATCACACCATCCAGGTATTTATCTCTCCATCTTCCCCTCTGTCTTTTCCTATCAACTCCTCTTTGTCTTTTCCTATCAACTTCTCTTTGTCTTTTCATATCCACTCCTCTGCTTTTTTTATCAACTCCTCTTTGTCTTTTCCTATCACCTTCTCTTTGTCTTTTCCTATCAACTCCTCTTTGTCTTTTCCTATCAACTTCTCTTTGTCTTTTCCTATCAACTTCTCTTTGTCTTTTCCTATCAACTTCTCTTTGTCTTTTCCTATCAACTTCTCTTTGTCTTTTCCTATCAACTTCTCTTTGTCTTTTCCTATCAACTTCTCTTTGTCTTTTCCTATCAACTTCTCTTTGTCTTTTCCTATCAACTTTGTCTTTTCCTATCATCTCTGTCAGTTGTTGTGTTAAGCCGCTGAAGTTCATAGGTTCCTCTCATGGACTGTTTTTAGTTTATGAGTATAATGTTTAAGGACCCCTGAAGGCCATCAATAAAACTATGGAGAGTTCATGCTTTGTGCAACATTCTCTGCCTGTGGCCAGTCATTCTGTGGACATAGTTCAAGCAATATGGGATCAAACTCTGTGCAATGAAACTGATAATCTTGACCTCAAACCTTTAAGAGTTTGGGAAGCACTGATTGAAAGAAAACAAAGCTAATTAGAATCTCTCCTATGTAAAGATATACACCCAGTGATTAATCCTTCACATAGACATGTCTAACTCAATATATCCTGGTTATTCAATACATTAATATGTTCCAAATTACAACGTTATTCACATCCTGGGCATGTTATATATTTAGCTACAGGTAACGGTGTCTGTGGCTTAGGCGTTACAAATGCGCTTTGTAATGCCGGGGGGGCCGGGTTCAATTATAGCTGCAGACTGTTTGTCTTGCGTTGGTTTCGACAGAGGTACCAAGAGCTGATCGTTTAGAAAGCAATGACAAACTACTGAATGTAAAATTTGCCTAGAAAAACCACAACAGCTAAGAAATGCTGGGGTTGGTTCTGTAATGTCCTGTAAAGGATAGGCAGCTAACTAACAGGTAAGGATGTACTGGGAAACCGCAGGTAGCAGTCGCTTCATGCTTCTTTCCCGGCCCAAAAGTCTTGGGTTCAAACCAAGCTCAATTTTTTTTTAAGGTACTGCAGCTGCGAGGTCAACAGTCTAAAATGTGTGCCTGGCAATGTTTTGGAATGTAAAGGCAGCTGATTTAATGCTGGCCACATTGCCCACTAAGTGCCGACTAGTCTACAAACTACGAGTCCAGCAGCACACGACTGATGTGCTCGACAGAAAAGGTCTGTTAGTTACCTGTTTTTTATCAGTTAGCAGTGATAGAAAAAACGGTGATTGAATAGTGTGTGAGAATCTGGAGGAATAAACTAGCATCATTTACATTGGAACTTGAGTGCCATTCTGCGTTGTTTGGTAATTGTAGACAGTTGTGTTTGTTCCCATGTTGGCAGCTACGCACGTGTGCGACAAAGTCACATGACGCAACAATGGTAGCTAGAATGTGAAAATCCTGGACTGGAAGCCAGGATAGAATCTAGCAATACTGAAAGCAGCAAACATCACTGCAAAGGAGACAGAGCTCCCATCAAAAAAATGCCAAGTGTAATGACGTCGATTCTAAATTTATTCATTAATCATTACTGCAATGAGCTCATTCATGATAATCCAACATGAGTTGAATTGAGTCCAGAATTGACATAACAGCACTCGGGCCATTCCCATGCATGCTCTGTCCTAATCTTCAGCAGCCAGCGCAAAGTTCCAATACTAATGGTACCGGTCACAATCTGGTTATATGTCTGTCTTGCCTTCTCTCTGAGTGTAGTGATCTGGCCAGACCCTCTGGTTACACCCAGATGCCTCGTTCTCTCCAGGCCATAATAATCTTCTACCTCTACTGATTACGTTGATTGTTCCCAAAGGGCCTTGACCACATCTACCTTGTCATGTATCAATTCACCACCCAGAGGTGCAGATCCAGCCAATCTGTCTGTCTGTTCATAACCCTCAACGCCGGCATGGCCTGGAGAAAAGATCCAAAGTATGCATATACCCATGACCTTCCCAGTGAAGCTTGTCACTCTTCTCGAAGCATCCTTGTCTTCACCTTTCTCAGCATGCTTTCAGAGTTGGAAGTCAGGATAGAATCTAGCAATACTGAAAGCAGCAAACATCATTGCAAAGGACACCGAGCCCAAGTGTAATGACACCGATTCTAAATTTATTCATTAATTCATTACTGCAATGACCTCATTCATGCTAATCCAACATAACACCAACTAATAAATATTTATAGTTAATTAGTAAATTGGTTTACAGATTATATATGTGCTCCTGCTGCAGACAGAAAAGCTAATTCAACATTAGAGATAAAGGACAGATTACACCAAAGTGAGTGTACCAGGACACCAATTATCTCTAAAAAACTAGTTAAATGTTGACTTTCAGTTCAAACAGTAATGGCTCACAAACAAGAATCCATACCAATTCTTTTTTTTTTTACAGATGGGGTTTGGAGGGATGAGTGTTTCAAACATCCAGTTGTGAATGAAGAACTTCTCTAGTGGGTGAAGAACTTCTCTAGTGAATGAAGAACTTCTCTAGTGAATGAAGAACTTTTCTAGCGAATGAAGAACTTCTCTAGTGAATGAAGAACTTTTCTAGTGACTGAAGAACTTCTCTAGTGAATGAAGAAATTTTCTAGTGGCTGAAGAAATTTTCTAGTGACTGAAGAATTTCTCTAGTGACTGAAGAACTTTTCTAGTGACTGAAGAACTTCTCTAGTGAATGAAGAACTTTTCTAGTGACTGAAGAACTTTTCTAGTGACTGAAGAACTTTTCTAGTGACTGAAGAACTTCTCTAGTGAATGAGGAAATTCTCTAGTGACTGAAGAACTTCTCTAGTGAATGAAGAAATTCTCTAGTGACTGAAGAACTTTTCTAGTGACTGAAGAACTTCTCTAGTGAATGAAGAACTTTTCTAGTGACTGAAGAACTTCTCTAGTAAATGAAGAAATTCTCTAGTGATTGAAGAACTTTTCTAGTGACTGAAGAACTTCTCTAGTGAATGAAGAAATTCTCTAGTGACTGAAGAACT